GGGAGAGAAAAACCATGACAGAGGAGGCAAAGAGACACCTATTGGGTATTAATCTGTGCTGTTCTGTATTATGACTCTTCTCTCGCTTGGTTATCGTAACAACCCAGCATGTTCGATGTGATCAAGTCCACTTTACAAGCCAGGAATCTGAGGCTCAGAGATGTTAAGCAACTGACTCAACGTCACACAGCCAGTAGGTAGTAGAGCCAGGACTTGAAAGCCAGGACTCGCACCCCACATCTACCCCCGAGGGAGTGCCCAGCTCCCTCTGTTTCACACCCTGCTACCTATCAACATGGTCTCGCATCCATCTCTCAAATCAGGAGTGAACCCCACTTCCCTGCCCAGATGTTTCCCTGAGGCAGGCTCTCTCCCCCTTCTGTCTGCACAGCAGCCCTGAATGCTGAGGGCTGCCTGGGAGGGATCTGACTCCCCTTCTCTCCTGTCCCCCTCCTGCTCATCCAGGCCCCTCTTCTCCAGTGAAAGGCAGGCACCCACTGAGTGACATCAATTTGCAGCCTTCTCAGGTGTGAATAAGATTTCTAATAGGACCAGCTGCCTTACTGGCTTCCAACACGGTTAGGAGTAAAGAGGAAATTTAAGAGGCAGGAAACGGGGAAGACGAGAACCAGTTTGGGGAGCTGAAAGAGCAGCTGAGCAGTGACAGCAGCAGCCTCTGTGGAAGCGAAGGGCTGATTTGGTTCAGAGAGGTTAAGTGCCTGGCCCAAGGTCACACAGCTAGCAAGTGGTAAAGGCAAGTGAGCTCAGCTAATGGTTGCATCCTTCATATTCCCTAAAGGAGTTCAACTTCCAATCCCATTTAGGTTTGTAAGATGCTTTAGTGTTCTAAAAGAAAGACTTTCCCAGCCTTTTCTGTCTCTGGATGCTGCTGACCAACCCTTCCCTTCTCTGGCCTGAGCCCTGGGGTTGCCTTGTGCCTGCTGTGAGGGTGGAGACAGAGGGTGGAGGTATATTTAGAAAGCACTAAATAGGGCATCTGAGTTTGTTGCTTGAAAAATGTATCCCCATTGAGGGTCTCATGATTGGGACTTGATGGCCACCTTAGGGCGAGGTGTCCCCCATTTCTTAGGCTTGCAGAAAGGCTGGGAAATGATGTATCTGATCACTGCTTCTGCCACTGCGGGAGCGGTCCGCAAGCACTTTTGGGGGGATTGGGCTTCCCCACCCCAGTTTTTCCCTTGGTGACATCTGGGGGTCCAGTAGCACTGAGGCAGATTCCGAGGCCAAGAAGATGTCCCGTGCACAGATGTCCACTCTCAGCCCTGGGGGAGACACCAGAGCAGCTGCAGGTCAGGTATGTCCTCTGTGTGACAGGGCACCTGGTCACAAGCACGTGGCCCTTATGCCCACTCACACTGTGGCTTTCTCCTGCCAAGGAACCAGACCTCACACTGTGGGCACCCCACCCCAAAACGGTTGTTGGGTGAATCAGTGAGTAATCGAGGGGAAGTCTCTCCCTGCCCTTTAGTGGGTGGTGTGGTGCCAGCCCAGGGTCCTGGCGGGAGGGAGACCCTGCCTCCTCCCCCAGCCCTACTCCCGGATCCGAGGCTCTCCACTCACACCATGGTCTGTCCTTGTTTGTGGAAGACTCTGCCTGGGGCATGCAACCCAGGGGTGTCCAGGGCGGTTTCCAGAGGTGTTTTCTAGGAGGCAGAGAAGGCCCGGAAAGGAACCCAGGGAGGGAGAACCAGGAAAGGGAGGCGGCCCAGCCCCGACCCCGCTGCGAGGGCCTCGCACCATGCGGCAGACTGGGATTTGTTGTTGAGCGTAGTGAGACAACAACAAAATCACCGGTCTTCCAGATGGGGCTGGCCGTGTGTGTCCGCCTCCGGCTGCTCCCCAGAGGCGCGCTGGGGTGCTGGGCCGTCCACCGGGTCAGCCCGCCTGCCCGCCATGTCCGTCTTCTCCCACAACCCCTCCGTCACCTCAGAATTCTCTAGAGCCTCTGCTCAGAAATGGATGTGTGTGTGTATGTGGTGGGGGGAGTTCTCGCTTTGTTTTTCTTGTTTCTGGCGTGTAACATACTTCCTCGAATAGTCAGGAGATCTTATTTTTGAAGGGAGGCAGGCAGGGGGCTTGTCACCTTTCTTCCATAGTTATCAAGCTGGACTGTCATGGAGAAGGGAAAAGGGAAGAGTCCCAGGTAACGGGGACCCCTCTCTGCCAGGTCCCTGCCTCTCGCCCACCTGCATGCCTACAGCCTTGGTCGTGGTGAAAGCCCTCCCGGTGCTCAGGATGAAGTGAGGGTGCTGGGGTGAGCGGAGTGGAAAGTAGAGAAGGGGAAATGGTTGTGGGCGGGGGGGGGGGGGACTCTTGTGTTGTCCCCCCCCCCCCAGGCCCGACGCTGGGCTTTTCTGGTTCATGTCCCCAGCCTGGGACACCGATGGAGGAGACGCAAGGCCCTCGCCTGGCCAGGCTCCTAATTGCAGTGGCATATCCGCTTGTTAATTAGCAAAGCCACAATATCCTGGTGGCTCCGAGGGCACGGCCCTAATTGTGTTTCTGCCGCAGCCCAAGGATAATTAGCTTCCTCTGCTTTTAATTTTTTCTCTTTTTAATTGAAAACTCTTCCTCGGTGGCTCAGCCCTCCGTCCTTCCGCGTGTTCTCTCCATCCAGAGTGGGGAAGGGCCTGCCTGGAGGCTTATGGGCTTATGGGGGAACAGCGAGATGGGCAGACCCAGGCCGGAGGCCCAGAGCTGTTCAGCTGCCAGTCCCAGAAGGGCGGGCCTGAGAAAGCCGAGAGGTTCTCCTGTGGACGAGGTATGGCCCATGCACCCTCCCCAGGGGGCTAAGACCTCTTTCTCCCCACTCCCCAGTGGGGTGCTAGCTCTTGGACTCCAAACTGCAGGGAGCTGAGGACCCCCCCCCCTCCCCATTTAACCAAGGAAGAGGGAGGAATGCCTTGTCTTTTATTTCTTTTAAAGTAAGAGGAATAATAAATAACCTGTGCCTCTTTAGCACTGTTGAGAAAGGGCTAGAACATCAGATACAAAGACCTGAGCTCATATTAATATAAGAACCAGGCTAACGAAGGCAAAAGGTGTTAACCCGTGGGGTTAGGGCCCCTGGTAGTCCTAGGAAAACGTGCCTTCCTCGGGGCGCCCTCGGTTACATTTCAGGTGGGAATAGGTCAACTCCAAGGTGTCATAAAAGAGCTGGGAGAGAATCCTGCTGTCAGAATCCTCCCCGTGACAGCAGGGGCTCTCGTTCGTTATTACCTGCCAGCGCCTAGTACAGAGCCTGGCTCACGGCCTGTGACACCACCTGGCAAAGAGGCAGAGTTCAGAGATCACGCAGGATCCTGTAGGAACACCATCAATCCATTTTCATTGGCTTTTTTTCCTTGAAGAACCAATGAAGATGGACTTGAGCCTGACGGTGGCCCGAATTTTCTAAAATTCTGGAACTCTGGGATCTGTCTGGGTGAGGGGAAGATGAAAAGAGTACAAGAGTCTCAGAGAAATGGACCTGGGGGGCGGGGGGGGGGAACGACCTGCCCTTGAGCCCACCAACTCCCTCTCCCCACTTGGGGTTTCTTACCTCTGGATGTAGAGCCATCCCCTTAGCAACAGCTTGTTTCCATGGTTCCCTCCCTGACAACGATCCCCAAGCCCCTCCTCTCTTTCTTCCTGACAGTAATGGGTGATAGGGATCCCGGGGTGGCCACTCCACATAACCATGGTAACAATTAACGGAGCTTTCATTTATCTTTTGTGAAGACAGGGGGGGGGAATAGGAAGCATTTGGGTGGGAGAGGTGGGGGAGGGTCCAGAGGGCTAGAGCTGTCATTGTCATAAAGAGGGAAGTTAAGAGACTTGTCCTAATAGGAGCCGGGAAGATTCAGTTCACACATTTGTTGAGCCCCTACTCTCAGGATGAGCAAGCTCTAGGGATTCAAAAGTGTACAAGACATAACTGCTACTATCGAAGGCCTTCTAGTCTAGCACTGGGGTAATGGTCCTACTGAAACCCTGGCACCGATGGGCCCCTAACAGAGGTGGCGCTAGCTAGCATTGCTATGATTGAGCCTCTGTCTCCTCCCAGCATCCCCTGCAGCCAAGAACCAAGAAAAGGCTGACCAAGGGGGTCTGTACTCACCCTAAGGCTTCTCCCGGGCTGTTGTCAGAGCTCCTGTCCTAGAAGGGAGAGAGTGTTGGTGTTCCTTCCCTTTAGAGAAGTAAAGACTAATACCAGCATCCCTAAATTGGATGATTCGGTGCAGGGAGAAAGGGAAACAAACAAACAAACAAACAAACAAAAAAACAGACTTGCCCACCTCCAGTGCCATGAGGGACTGGGATAATCTCCATTTCCAGAAATCACCATCACCTACCTGTCACAAGCCTTCCCGGGAAGTGCTGGGTCTGCTCTTACACTGAATTAGAGGGTCATTGTCTCCATCCAGGGTTTTTTTTTACGTGTTATTGAAAATGCAGGCCAAAAGGGTAACTGTGAAGAATTTAGACAAACACATAAAACTACCAGGGACACCAAAGTTGGGCGGAGTGAATTCAAAACCTGAGACATCTACTTGTCATGGATAACACAGCTCTTCTTTCTGCCAGCTTCCAAGCCTCATCCCCAAAAGTTTTCACCAAATCCCTGAGGGTAGAGACCAATTCTACACTTCTAGGGGAAGTGACAAAGACCCCTGGGCCCCTTTGTGTGCTGACACCAATAACCTGCACTGACTTGGAAAGATAATCATAATGTATTTTCAAGTTAAAAAAAAATCTATAGAACAATGTATTCTTCAGGTGTGTTCAAGCAAGCTACAAATAACAAGGTAGCAAAATTTATTCTTGCAAGTCACGTGTAATCTGGATGAGCCAAAGCTAATCCCAGATCCTGGGTCCCACAACTCTGATGTCCATTCCTTGCTACTGGATGGAACCCAGGCAGATTCAATCATTCTGGGGACCCTGCTCACTCAACTAGTCAGGAAAGGACAAATGGCATCCTCTGATTGGTGGACAAGGCAATACACGCCAACCAATGAAAGGATGAGTCTCCCTTTTGGGCCAATAAGATTTCAGTTCTCTTCTTGAAAGTATACCCTTTGTCTATAAAGAAAATGAGCAGAAAGGGAATAGTATTTTTTTTTAAGCCACCATTGCTATGGGACATTATTGATGTGATCAGTGATCGCTGCCTCAGAGAATTCAGAAAGCAAGGCACCTGTTTGGGAAGAAAAATACAGAAAAGCACACCAGCTGTCTGGTCCAGACTAAAAAGAAGTTTCTATAGTAACGTGAAAAGAAAAAGCATTTTAATGTAAATGTCCATAATAAAACGATATCTAGCCAACCCATGAAGGGTTGTTTTTTTTTTTCCTTCAACTTAGGTTGAAATTATGCTGTTTTAAAAACTATATTAGCCATGAGTGAAGGAAAAAGTGAAAAGGAAAGAAATATGTGTTTACTGATACTGGGCATCACGAATAAAAACGTGTTAGTTACTGCAGGAAACAGGGCTGTCCTCCAATCCTGCGTCAAGTGATAGCCCAGCTTAAAACAAGGTTTTGTTTTGGAAAGAGAAAGTTTATGGCTCTCGAGAACTATTCTAGATGAATGAGTGCACGGAACACAGTTCATTCTACTGACGTTGCGATGTCCCCTTAAATCATCCTAAGAACGTTACAGCCGCCTCCAGAAAAATGATGGGTAAGATAGTTTCCCACCCAGACATTACAAATGAACACAGCAGGCAAGACAGGCGGGGTGAAAAGCGGAGTCAATGTTTGTCAATCTGGGAAACGGAAAAAGTCAGAGCTGTGAGCGCCGTATCAGCTCGTGATGCAGGTAGTGCTGGGGAGCAGAGAAGCCGGAGGAAGCAGATGAGGGGGATGCTATGGCTGTATGCTAAGGGAGCCCCCATTTCCACCTGCCTGTGCTTTCTGTGTGGTCTTGTGGGGAGAGATGAGCAGAGGCGCTGATCTGGAATTCAGCATGTCCCCCCCCCTCATGGAGAGGGAGGGAACCACTGCCCAACCAAGGGAAAACCTTGGTTTTCTTTATCAGAGACGCCTTTGGACAATTTCCCCCACCTCCCTCCTGTGCATCCACGAAGAGCAAATGTGTTTTTCTCACTTAAAGGGGATAAAGGGTGTGTATGGGGGAGCAGCACCTCCAGCTAAAGAATTAAATAATAATAACAATGATAATAGGCCTAATTGTAAGTCCCAGAGAAACGACACGACAAGCCTTGATGACCTCTCCGAAGGATTGCGATGGTGGAAAGGTTAGCTGCTTGGCCAAGCACCTTGGCTTAAAAGGAAAAATTCACCCCAGCAGATATTTTAAAGACTCAAGTTGCTCAGGGTAATTAGTGGCCAAAGCCCCTCCATTCACTGTAACCAAGGCAACAGGAAGCTGGGGCTGGTTGCCTGGTAACCACACTTCAGGGCCCGGGTCCTGTCCGCTCGCCTCCTCCCCCACCTCCGTTAGCCCTTTTGTGATAAGGTTCCCCTCTCCTCCGCGGCGTTCTCCCTCCCTGGCAAAGTAGTCACTCTGCTCCTCATACAAAGGGCAACCTGGGCTCCTTTGGCTCAAAAGGAGGACCTTGATAGTCTTTTTGGACGGATTTCCTCTCCGCCCAGATACTGCGACCCAGATAAAATATGCTTCTTACTTTGGCCCTGACAGCTCACTCTCTTCTCCCTCCGTCCCACGCTTTGCCCTTCATTCGCCCAGTGGGTGGAGTGAATCCAAAACGTGAGACATCCACTAGTCATGGATAGCACAGCTCTTCTTCCTTCTGTGGAAGGAGGCGGCGGAGGCGCGCGAGAGGGAGGACGCGACTTGGATGGTGGCGACCTGTCGCAGCGCACAGGGCCTGGGGGGGTCCCGGGAGACTCACTGCCCCGCGCGCCTCCGCTCCGCACGGACAGGCGCGCACCTTTTCGCTTCCGCACCAAAGTCATTTCAACGGGTCTTGGCGAAGGGGCGATAGAATGCTCCCCCTAGAACCCGACACGTAAACCGCTAGAGAAATAGGAGCAGACGAGTCCCCCTTTTTCGGCGCACCCTGCCTCACCTCCTGGCCTCCTCCGCGTGGGGTCCGAGGGACAGCGAGCGCGAACCGCGTGGGAGCCCATCCCAGGCGCTCGCGGGCCGTGGCGCTGTCCAGCCTCTGGTGCTGAAACCGGAGGCTCGGATTCCCCCGTGGGGACTTTAAAAGCAGCCAATTCTGACCCCCGAGGTAGGGACCGGAAGGGCACGCGCTTTGTCCCCCC